ACCCCAAAAGTCAACCCAAGGTCAATGGAGACACCAAGAGTCAACCCGAGGTCAATGGAGTCTCTCAAGTCAAGGTTGGGTCAACCCAAGGTCAATGGAGACCCCAAAAGCCAAGGTTGGTCAACCCAAGGTCAATGGAGACACCAAGAGTCAACCCGAGGTCAATGGAGACCCCAAAAGTCAAGGTTGGTCAACCCAAGGTCAATGAAGACACCAAGAGTCAACCCAAGGTCAATGGAGACACCAAAAGTCAAGTCAAGGTCAATGGAGTCTCTCAAGTCAAGGTTGGGTCAACCCAAGGTCAATGGAGACCCCAAGAGTCAAGGTGAGAAGGTTGGAGAGGGTCAAAGTCAAGGGTTGGGCAAGAGAAGGTCAACGGAGATCCTGAAAGTCAAGGGTTGGTCAACCCAAGGTCAATGGAGACCCCAAGAGTCAACCCAAGGTCAATGGAGACACCAAGAGTCAACCTGAGGTCAATGGAGTCTCTCAAGTCAAGGTTGGTCAACCCAAGGTCAATGGAGACCCCAAAAGTCAAGGTTGGTCAACCCAAGGTCAATGGAGACCCCAAAAGTCAAGTCAAGGTCAATGGAGTCTCCCAAGTCAAGGTTGGTCAACCCAAGGTCAATGGAGACCCCAAAAGCCAAGGGTTGGTCAAACCGAGGTCAATGGAGACACCAAGAGTCAACCCAAGGTCAATGGAGACACCAAGAGTCAACCCAAGGTCAATGGAGACACCAAGAGTCAACCCGAGGTCAATGGAGACCCCAAGAGTCAAGGTGAGAAGGTTGGAGAGGGTCAAAGTCAAGGGTTGGGCAAGAGAAGGTCAACGGAGATCCCGAAAGTCAAGGTTGGTCAACCCAAGGTCAATGGAGACCCCAAGAGTCAACCCAAGGTCAACGGAGACCCCCAAAGTCAATGTTGGGTCAAGAAAAGGTCTTGGAGACCTTCGAAGTCAACCCAAGATCAACAAAGACCCCAAAGTCAAGGTTGGGTCAACCCAAGGTCAATGGAGACCCCGAAAATCAAGGTTGGGTCAACCCAAGGTC